GCTGAGGATGGGGGACCTGCCACCACTCTGGCAGTTTCAGACTCCTGGGAGCCAGCAGGTGAGGACCCAAGAGTGTTTTCAGCGACCTGGCTGAGCTGGTCATCCGTCCTCTCCCACCTTGGCCTAGGCCTCTACATGGCACAGATCACAGCTCATTCCAACCTGGCATTACACTGGCCTGTGCCGTGTCCTCAGGGTCACATCCATCTCCCAGAAGCCGTGAGACCCTGGAAAACCCATGAACCTGTCTAACAATCCAGGTTCCTCCTCTGTAATGCGTGCTGCTGACACCCATTGACGCCTGCTTTGCAGGGCGCTGGGGAGGTAGAGGAGCAGCTGGAGAGTTCCCGAGGCAAAGGCCTGGCTCTGCATCACTCACTCTCTGTCATATCCTCAGAGCCTGGAGCTGGCCCAGCATGTGGCCACCATTCCCTAAGAGTTGGATTTGATCCATCAGTGCTGAAGGCAGAGGATGGAAGCTTCGACAGACCCCCTGTGTCCTGTCTTCTTTATCTGCAGCTTACTCATCCTCACCCCTTTCACATGCACCCACACTGCAGAGCAGGTGTTCCACTGAGCTCCACAAAATTCACTAGAGCAGCTGATGGATACTGGGGCCTGGATTCACTGCCAAAGTGTTTCTCAAAGGTGCTCTCCAGAACACCATGGAAAACTCATTTTGCTGTATGATTTGAAAACCCCTGCCCACAGGTCTCCCCTTGTGTACGAGCAATCAGCTCTACCATTCAGCCCAGGTGTGTGTTTGCTGGACCATCTGGAGGGAAGCTGAGGAGACATGAGCTGAAGGCAGAGGAATTGAGTCTGAAGTGGGATCTTGGGACAAGTATGAGAAGTTAGGCAAAAATGGGATAATTCAGCCTTAACCTTGGAATAATAGTTCATTATTATTTAGTTAATAGGATTGTACCTGTACCCATTAAATTGCTAATTTTTTTTTTTTAAGAGGGAAGTCTCCCTTTCGGTCACCCAGGCTGGAGTGCAGTGGTGCAGTCATGGCTCACTGCTTTCTGGAACTCATGGGCTCCAGCAACCCTGCCTCAGCCTCCTAAGTGGGACCATAGGCACACGCCACCATGCCAGGCTAGTTTCTTTGACTTTTCTCTACAGAGACAGAAATTCGACACCTGTGTTTCCCAGGCTGGTCCCAGACCACAGACTCAAGTGAACCTGAACGTCCTGCCTCTACCTCTCAAATTGCTGGGATTACAAGTGTGAGCCACCACACCCAGTCTAAATTTCTTATGTGCCATGGACCTGCAAAACGTCATTATTAGGGGCAGCTGTATGGAAGGTGTAGGAGGCCACTGTAGTGCCTTTTCAATCTTTTATATCTAAAATAATTTCAACAGAAAACATTTATTTTAAAACGGAAGGGTTAATCATCTATGAGTTGAATACAAAGGCAGGCATACGGTGTCATCAGAATTCAATGGTCACACGGCTGGAGGTGCTGGGAGGGGCTGGACATGGTTGACTTTGTGATCTGGGGGCTGGTGTGTTCCATCTGTGAAGATCTTTCGAGCTGCACACTTTCTTAATCAATTTTCATAAGTTTAACAAAAAATAAAGCGAGCGTGAAGTTTGCTTGGGTTGTTAAGCCTCGGGAAGTTATGCAGCCATGAGCCCTGCCCCAGATGCTTCTAGAAGCCTGGAGGGAAATGAGAATTTTCCATGGAGAGGTGGCATAGGCAAGGCCTGAGGTGGGACGCTGCTGCTCGTCCCTAGCTGTTGAGAGCTGTCCTGCTTGGAATCAGTGCTGGAGTGCAGTGCAGGGCTGGAAGTCCATGTCCACATTGGCTCGGTGCAGTGAAAGCCAATCTCACACCTCCGCGGGAGTGTTCCACCTTCAACAGGTGGCCAGCTGGTCTTCTTGGGGATACGGTGCCATTGTAAGAAATTGGGTGCAAGTCTCTTGTCCGTGAAGCGGGTGCCCTGTTGTAGTGGGATATCTCACTTGGTCTCCCTCAGTCCTGATGGGCACAGGCAGAGCCTGGTGTCAGGAGGTACCCCTGGAGGCTTCTTGAGCTGGTCCTGTCCCACAGTTCCGGGGCTGTCCAGGACACATTCAGAAGGGACACGGACACAGCAACTCTGTTCGAAATCATAATGGGGAACCAAAGGGCCCCTACATCCGGAGTCCGTCGGGAGCAGGGCATCGAGTTCCACTCAGGAATCTCCAGGAACCTGGTCTTCCCTGAGCCGGGGCCGGGCTGGGCACATCCTGAGTGCCCACAGGGTAGGTGTCTTCCCGGACAGCCCCACCAGGACAAGATGTGGAAGAACAAGGTGCCCATGGTGGAAACTAACCAAATGGGCAGTGGAACCGAGCTGGTGAGCCTGGAGGGAGCCTGCACCTGTCCAGCAGGGTGTCCTGCCACTTGAAGCCAGCACAGGCCTAGGTGCTGAGAACCCTTTCTCGGGTTTGGCTGAAACAGGCGTGATCAGTGTCACTGAGCTCATGTGGGCAGCCTTTCCCGGCCAGGCCCCACCTGCCTGGGTCTCTGGAGTCCTCAGGATCTCTGTGTGGCCCCGTGGTCTGACACTGAGGACATGCCTGTAGTCTGCTGATCCCAGAGGGAGGGATGTGTGCCGCCTGGCATGGAGAGATATCAGGGGCATGACAGGTGGCTCCTAGGACTGCCCCCAGGGTTCAGACTGGCTGGGGATTCCACCACACACCCACATCCCAGGGCTGTTGGGCCAGGGATACAGACCCCAGTGAGAACTCAGGTGGGAGGGGACTTGGATGTCACCCAGCCCCTTGTCACCTCACGCTTGGGGACCCATCTCCACAGTGGGTGATTGGACCTGGACATTAGGTCACCCTCTCTGCCTTCCTGGGCTGCCCAGTCCATGCCAGGACTGACCCCGTTCCCATCTGCCTGAATTCTTGGCTCTGGCTCTCGCCTGGAGTCCCTCCTGTGCCCTCTCCCTGAATGCTGTGGGGTCAGGGACACCCGATTCCTTGTCGCCCTGGCTCAAGGCTGGTTGTCCTCAAAGCGTTGGAGGAGCGTGCAGCAGTGAGGGGCGTCTGCTGCTCTCTGAGGCTGTGGGTGCTTGCAGGGAGGGGTGGGGTTTCTCACAAATAGGTCTGGCTCCTTTAGTGCCCTTGAGGGTCCTGTGATGGGGAGACACAGACACTGCGGAAGGTGGGACGGGGCTTGTTGGAGGGTCATGCCCACATCACCCTCCTGCGTGCACATCATTGGACTGGGAGTATGGCTCCTGGAGAGGGGGCTTGCTCAGGGGCTTGAGGCTTCCCTGATCCCTCCCAAGTCAGGTCTTGGCCCAGTCTGCCTATAAGGCCTGGTCTGAGCCCAGTCATTGCCCTGGGATGACCCCTCTTGGACAGAGGGTTTGTTTGGGTGTCCTGTGAGAGGCCCTCCTGTGGAGGCGGAGCCTCTGTGGGCTATGGGTGAGCCAGAGCCTGGAAAGGAAGCAGGGCACTGCAGGGCAAGGAGGGTCTCACAGGCAGGGTCTCCCTGTGCCTTCTTACCCTGTCATTCAACATCTGGAGAAGCCAGCCTAAGGAGGAATCCTGTGTGCAAAGACCTTCGTTGTCTGATGGGAGGAACAGAGTGCTCAGGGCCCCTGGGCTGCCCTAAAACTTCCCTCTTGCAACAGGGCCTCTTGAAGACCCTTCCCCTGGTGCAGAACACTGGGCAGTGTCCAGGGCTCCCCACAACACCGGCCCCTTCCCACATTCCAGTGGACATGCTGCCCGTTGCCCTGCTCTGCGGAAGCTGGGCCCCCATCCCTGTGCCTCTGTCTCCTCCAGGGCAGGAAAGGAATCCAACTCCCAGCCCATGGAGAACCCGACGTCCCAGGTCAGGCCCTGGCTGGACTCAGCCAGTCACCAGCCCCACCAGGGGCTCTAGTCCCCATTCCTCCAGGGCCACGGGAGGCAGAGTCTCTGGGGAAGAGCCCAAACTTGCTCACCAGACGCCATAAACTCACCAGATGCCACCTGGTCTTGTGTTGTGTGCTGGGTACCACATGCTCCTGATGGTCTTGGAGGCCCTGGACTGTCCCGCCATTTGGGCTGTGCAATCCTGAGAAGCCCCCAGCCCATCAAGAAATCAGAGCCTTCCCAAGATGTGGAGCCATCAGCAGGAAGAGCTGGGCAGCTGGAGAGGATTGGCTCCACAAAGCCTTTCACCCTCCCATGTGGTGGCCCACCATGCAGCCTTTGTCCTGGGGACGTGGGGCAGGAACATCCCCTGGAGCCTGGCTGGAGGCTCCCCTGGACGCCTCCTGGACCAGGGTGCAAAGGGCAAAGCATGACTTGGGAGCCACCACACTTGGCAGCCAGAGCAGGGTGGGTGCTGGGCTCTTGGTCGTCTCCTGGAAGTAGTAGACCAGGGGACACGAGGTTGAGGAGATGCTGCCACCTGGGCTTGGTCGGCCCATTCATGGGCACCAAGGGCAGCAGGGATTCTCAGGGAGTTGGAGAGTCAGCTACAATCAGAGCGGAGGGCGTGGCAGCAGGACACAGAGGGTGGCCATGGGGAGGATGAGATGCCCTCTGCTGATGGGGATGAAAAGTGTCTGACTTGGGCTTTGGGGTCAACCACGGACTCCTATGGGACCCTCAGCAGAGACATCTAAGGATTCCCAAGGAAGCTGGCCAAGGAAGGTGCCTTGGCTGAAGCTACAGAATCATCTGGCCAGGGTGGTCGTCCTGGGTCTGACTGCATGAGTCCCTTGGGCACCTGTTCACCTACCCTGCAGGAGTGCCTCTCTCCCTGGCCAGCAGCTACTGCAGTGCCCAGAAAGCATCCTCCTCAGGCAGATAAGGAGGAACAAGACCGCGGCGTGGCTCAGGTCCCTGCAGTAGCCCACCTCCTGCAAGAGTCAGAGTCACCATGAAAGGACATCACCTGGGAGGACTGAGGTCACCTGGGAGGACTCATGTCATTGGAGAGGCAGAGGTGACTGGGGAGAGCTTCCTGAAGAAGAGGCTTCCTCAGGATGCAAATTCATTTCATGACAAAGGCCAAGTCCATCAGGCACTTCAGCACCTTGTCAAAACTGTCTCTGATGGCACCATCCTGTATTGCGACCCCATAAACTCCAGGGCTTTGGGGCAGACCCAGGAGGAGGGTGTCATTTCTTGTTCTGAAGTGGTAGTCAGACCCAGGTGACACCAGAAGTCCATGCCCCGACTCCTTTTTGTGTCTCAGCTTGACCAGATAAGCAGTGAGCTCTTCAGGGCCTTTGACTTTGAGAAATGTTTTATTAAATCCACATCTGTGACATGCAGATAGCCCAGTTGTACAGTGACTTGCCTGATCCTTTTCACTCTGAATGATTTCTTTATTTATTTTTCAGTTTGCACACACGCCAGTTCAGCCTTTGGGTGTACAGTTCCTCCACGGTTCTAAACCATGGGCAGAGTCTCCTGGCGACCGTTCCAGCCCCTCCTGAAGCAAATCCTTCATCTTCCAACTCTCCAAGGTGGCCCCTATGCACCCGGCCTCTCCCGATCTGTCAGTCCCTGGCCACTGACTGCTTGTCAGTCCCTATGGTTTGGCCTTTTCAGAATGGCCAGAGATAGAATCCTACATGGTAGCTTATTGGGTCTGGTTTCTTTGCCTCCAGCAAATGTATCTAGAATCCACCCACGTTCGTGCGGGCATCAGTGGCTGATTCCCTTTTCTCACTGTGTCTTCCGTTTGAAGGAGGACCAGCCTCTCGCTCTCCCCCTTCCCATGTTGAAGCCTGTCCACGAAGGCTCCTTGTGTGAGTGACGATGAATCAAGCAGTGGACGTGGCATGCAGGTTTCATGTGGACATCAGTTTTTCAAATCAGTGGATCAATGTTTGTGATACTTTGGGGACACGTGGTTGAAGTGCATTGAGCTTTGTGAGTCACTTCCAAACTGGCTGCCAAAGTGGCTGTGCCATGTCATGTTCCCAGCAGACCAGGATGACACTTTCCAGGACCCCTAATTGCCCCAGCATTTGGTGCTGTCAGTGTTGCCTAGAGAGGCTCTAAGCCAGGCCCTCCATCCTGCCACCCTCCCATGAGTCTACCATGGGTCCCCATGGGTCAGGGAGAGCACCTTTCACCATTGTGCATGATTTTGTTTGCTGCCTTCTGTCTCCTCAGGATCCTCCTGGGTTCTGGCCCCACATGTTCTGAGTCTGGCCCAGGACTTGGCACCATGTGCTCTTGTTTGCTGCCTTCTGTCTCCTCAGGATCCTCCTGGGTTCTGGCCCCACATGTTCTAGTCTGGCCCAGGACTTGGCACCATGTGCTCAGTTCATGGTGCCAGCTGCTCCCTGGGTCAGGGGAGGTCTTGGCAGCTCTGTCATCCCTCCTGGGTGACCCTGGCCTATTCTCTGGGGAAGCCCCCATTCCTTTCGTTCACTCCATCTCCACTGAGACCCTGTCGCTCCCATTGGCTTACTTGGCTCCGTATCGACCCCTGAAGAAGATGTGAGTCCTTAATGTCCTGCTCACGTCCACATCGATCTGGTGGATGTGTTCAGATGACCTCTTGCCCTTCTCCTTCATGACCTGTAGGGCGGGGCCAAGAGGAGGAAGCAGCCTCAGAACAGATAGAAGACTCCCGACCCCAAATGGCAGTCAGCCCACAGTCAGCACTCCGGGAAGGAAGGAAAGCAGGAAGATTTCCTTCTGCACAAAGCTGCTTTTTGGCTTGTTACTGAAGCTGGGGAGGGTCACCGGAGCCGAGTTTGTCTGTGGTGACTATGTCACCGTCCGTGCCCAGAATGTGCATCTGACCATCCCACCCACCCCCCAGCCTGGGCTTGATGCTCGCTTCAGCTGGAGACCTGGGCCCCTGACACAGCCTGTCCTGTTTGTTGTGCTCTGGCTGAACGTACCTTGTATGTTCTGGGGTTTTTCGACTTGACTTCCTGTATGTTCAGGAGGACTGACCACACTTGGCCCCAGATGTTCATGGGAATGCCCTTATATACTCGATCTATCAGCTGTGGGCAGAAAACAAACTGGTGTCACAGGCCACGGGGCGACCCCAGTGAGGACCAGAGCCCGAGGATTCTGGAAATGGTTGGTTTTGGCCCTGTGATCCCTCGTTACAGGTGACATTAAGCTGGGACACAGTCTCCCTTCCCAGGATTGAAAGAGCGGATGGACGCTCAGAGTCGGGACTCTGATCTGAACCTTTTCCTTCCTTTGGGTCACCAGGGCATCCCTAGCTTTGAGCTCCAGGTGGTCCCAGCCCTAGATTCAGATTCCCTCCCAGCAAGGTGACGCTTGCACGAATAGGCAGGCAAACCACCGACCAGGCCTGCAGTCCTCTGGGTGAGGTCAGTGTGCCACCCGCCCTCTGAGAGGCTGATGGTGCCAGGCCACAGCCATGGGTGCCTGTCCCCTGTCTCTGTAGAAAGTGGTTCCGGGGGCCTCTCCCTCCACACATTACTTTTTTACTGTTCTTATATGTCTCCCATTGTCCCAGCATTTCCATCCACTTGCTCTTTCGTGTTACCTCCCGCCGTATTTGCTGTCAAATGAGGAATGTTGGCGTTAGGGGAGCTGCCAGGCTTCCCAGAACCACCCGTGGATGCTGGGTCTTGGGCTCTGGAGCCCTGGTGGACCCAGCTGGAGGGAGCCAGGGAAGGGCAGACCCTAAGGGCTGAGAGCCTTTGAGCGAATGAGCACCAGTGGGCTGGCTTTGGGACCCCGGGACGTGCCATCCTCAAGCCACAGACACAACAGTCTTAGGTCAGGTCCCAGCCTCTAGGTGGGGTCCTGACACAGGCGGGCAGCCATCCCCAAGCCACAACGATGGTTCTCATTTTGGAATCTTATCAAGCTGCCAAAGTTACAGCAACCTGGGTTCCAGCAGGGAGTGCTGCCCCTCCCAGTGATAGCGTGTTGCCCTCACCTGTCACCGCCCAGGCCAGCTGCCGCCTCTGCCTCATCGACCACCTGCCCAGTCCCCACATCCCTGGTTCAGCCCCCTCTACATGCATCAGGCTCTTACCTTCACCTCCCGAGCAGTGGCAGGAGGCAGCTCTGTCTCACTGTAAGGCAACGCAGGCAGAACTGAGGACCCGTACAGGGCCTGGGGCTCCCCGAGACTGGGAACCAACCCCCAGAAAGGACAGGCTCTGTCCCTATCTAGCTCAGGGCTCAGTCCAGGAAAAGACACAGGGAAGGGAGGACAAGGGCCTTCCTGTGGGGCTGACTCCCAGGAGGGACAGGAGCTGGGAGAAGAGGGAGTGTGGGGCCAGCCTGGCCGGGGTTACTGGGGCTCCTGGCGTGGGGGGTGGTCAGGCTGCACAATGGGGCTGCCCGTCCTGGACTGGAGGTGGTGCTTTCTGCTGGAGCTGAGAAAGGTCAGGCCTGAGATGGAATGGGGGCCACCCAGGGTGGGCGACAGGGCCCTAACAGGAGTCCCTCAGGGAGTGACCACATCACTCCACCGGTGTCAAGGGAGCCTGCCCTGAGACCTGCCCAGTGTACTCCTGGTGTACCAGGGGCCCATCCCACTTAACAGCCCCAAGGCCCTTTCAGGTTCTGACTCCCAGCACCTGCCTCTTGCTGCACCTGACCCACACACCCTGCGTTTCAGAAGTGGCACTGTTCATCAGCTCCCTCCCACCCTACCTCCCCCGGGATCCTCTGTCTCTCCATCCTATGAACCCTAAGGGATGGACTCCTGTCTGGGCTCCTCTTACATGGGTCAGGTCCTTTCCCAGCACCAGACCCAGGGTCTCTAGCCACAAGCCCTGCTCCCTCCCTGGCCTCACCATGAAATACCCATAACGGGGCCCTGCCCATCTTCTCCCCCATTCTCCTAGGGCCACCGCTCCCATTGTTCCCATGCCTTTCCCCCTTTCCCATGGGGACAGTGAGGGCTGTAGCTCTAGGGAAATGAGGGACGACAGGGGCAGGTGGACCCTCAGAGACCCACTGGACAACAGCCCTGAGGCTGGGCCAGGCGTCCCCTCACCTTGTAGCCACAACACTTGGATTTCACTGGGGTTGTTTCCAAGTAGACATGGCCAGACCCTCAGGCTGCCCCGCTCCTCTTATGCTGACTTGGGGACAGAAGTGCTGAGAGTCCAGGGGCCTGACCTAGCCCAGTCTCCATTCCCACCTGCTCCCTAGATGGGTCCCACAACTCTGGCCTAACAGCAACCTCAGGCTGGACCTGCAGGGGAACCAGGGAGGAGTTCTGACCCTGGAAAGGAGGTTGGCCTGACCCGGCGAGACAGTCCCGCCTCAGAAAGGCCTTTCTGAAAGCAAACCCATCCCTGAGCTGAGACAGTTGCTTCAAGGGTGAGGGGAGCACAGAGGACTCACTGCACAATCCCAAAGCGATCAATGTTGTTGTAGATTCCAACAGGCTGAGGCCCAATGTCCTCGGGCAGCCCAGCTAGGTGTCCCTGTAACCCAGAGGGAGGCTTGGTGAGGGGTCCAAGGTAAAGGGTGCAAGGGCCTGGGGGTAGTGGCCACCCGTGCCCACCCTGTGATCCTAGGGAGCCCAGGACCCTTTGACCAGGGCGCACTGGAAGAGGCCTCCCTCCAAGGAGCAGACCAACCTGTACCTTCTCATAGTTCATAATGATATTCTCTCGCTCCTGTGCCCGCAAACTACCTGCATCCTCTACGATTTCCATCCTGTGAGACAAAATCTTCTAAAAGTTACCTTTTACTTGAGAGCTTTGGAGAACACCTGAACCATTCCCGCCAGGCTCCCAGATGCTGGCTGGTTGTGTAACCCCCATTCCACCACCGCCCCCGGGTAAAAAGGCGCCAGACCTAGTGTCCCACACCTGCATGAGTCTCTGAGTCTCCAGTCCCAAGCAGGGGTGGGCATCATCCCAAGGACTTGAGGACAGTGGGACCTGGACAGAGAATCCCGTCGTCTCCAATTGCCATGAAATGGGGACATACCTCCCCCAGCAAGTTGAAACGTGTCCACCTGCCAAGGGTGAAGGGCTCATGATGGGCTATTCCAGGGATGTGGAGGGAGACTGAGGTCAGCAACCAGAGTTCGCTGTACAATCGGCCTCCTGGGATGCTCAGGGACCACAGAGATGTCCAGTTTTCTACAGGGAACAAGATCTCTCCTGACTGCTCTGTTCTACTCCACTCATCACTTTGGCTCCCGTGGCCCTTCAGTCTGAACAGAGAAGCCACTTTAGGAATAATGCCAGTTGAGCAGGAGGGTGTTCGGTTTGGGGGATGAAAATGATCTATTGTGCTAGTGGAAACCCTCACTCGGGGAGGGACTGTGGACTCCACCATTCTGAGCTGTCCTTACAGGAGGGGGCTTCACTTTCATGAGTCACTGAGGAAGGACAGTGGGTCCTTGGTCCCGGAGAACACCTGGATGGACTGTCCCTCCTTGGAACACTTGGGGCAAAAGGAGGGTGAGGCCTCGAGAGGACTAGACAGAGCAAGAAATACATGGAGAGAACCCCAGTGCCTGGACCCCTTTGAACAGAAGGGAAGAGGGTCTCCCCCCAGTCAGCCCTCCAGGGCTCCTTCATTTTCCACAACTACCCAAAGGCAGAAGGTTCCCCAGGATAAGGGACCATGTGTGTTCAGTGAGGCCCACAGCCACCATCAGGACCCAGTTTAGGGCACAGAGGTGTTCTCAGGACCCTTCTATCCCCCCCACCCACAGTGGATCTATCCCAGTGGCTCTGCCAGGGCCAGGCTCTGCCCCATTGCGATGGGAAACCTGGGAAGACTTGGGATCTAGGGCAGGGAGGTCACAGGGTTCAGGCCTGAATTCCAGCACAGTACACAGCAAGGGTGAGAGCAAAACCCAGGTTCATATCTGGATTCCCAGGCCGGTTACCGCCTCTCTGTCCCCAGACATCTCACCTGTCGAATGGGTACACTATGGAATGGCACTCACTCTATGAAGCCACCATGAGGACGAAAGAGCCAATCGTCTACACGGGCAGTGTAGAACGGACGACCGGTGAGTGCTCAGGGATGACCCTCCTCGGTAGCTGCCCAGAGGCCAACATCACCCACAGCATAGCCACTGTCCCCAAGTCAGCCTGGAGGGAAGAGAGCAGGTCACACTCACCTGATTCTGATGAATCAGTTGGCCTGCGTTATGCCTCTCAGGTAGAAAACCTTCAAGTCCACAAAACTGTTCCCAGATACCACTGTGCGTGTGTAGCTGATACCACTGTGCGTGGGTAACTGCCATAGAACACAGAGGCAGGCCGGAGAGCGGATTGGTGCTAAGCGCCAGTGACATTCTGAGGTCATGGCATGCATCACAGTGGGGCCTTGCCCGGGTCAGCAGGGCCCAGAGTCAGGGTCCTCCGCTGCCTGAGGCGGCCACATGCCTGCCTGCAATGTGTTTGTGTTCATGCGTGCACACCTGTACATGGGTAAACACATCTGTGCACGTGTGTGTGCCTTCTCTGGCCAGGCCTGGCTGCCCCACTCATGTGTGCACCCAGTTCCTCATCACTGTCACCCCCGAGGCTCAGGATCAGTATCAGAGCATCCACGGGTGTTCCCTAACCTCAGCTCTCCTCGCCCAGGGTTGTCTGGGATACACATAAGGGTGGGGGGAAGTGACCACTACTGTTGAATCTCACAATACAAATGCTAATACTATTATCTAACGGTCTTTTTTGTGTCTCTAATGGTATCTATTTTTAAATTTCTGATATTTTAACTGGGTATTTCTCTCCATGACCCTTGAATGTTCTAGCTAAAGGATCCTGTGGGGAAAGTGCCAGGCACACAGTAGGGCCTCACTCTATTCCGGACACATTATCTAAAATCTGGTTCATCTGTCCTTCCTGCCAGGGCCTAGGGGATGCCAAATTCCAGGGTCCAGAAAGAGTTTGGGATAAAATGAAGCTTCAAGGGGTGAACTTTGACCGGGGCTGAGTCTGCCTGTGCCATTCAAACAGAGTCTCAAGTCCGGAGATAGGGAGTCCAGATTCCTTAGTGCAGGGACCTCTGATCGACACCTGCTCCCCTGTACTCATTAGCAACCTCACCTACCCTACTCTCAAAGCACACTTGGCCCTCATATCCGGGAGCTCTGCATCTGTGGATTCAGCAACAGCAGATGGAAAATATTCAGAAAATAAATTGGATGGTTATGTCTCTACTGAACATGTGCAGACTTTGTTCTTGTCATAATTTCCTAAAGAATACAGTATCACAACCATTTATGTAGCATCTACATTGTATTACGTATCATAAATAACCTAGTAATGGTCTAATGTCTATTGGAGGATGTGCATAGCTTTTATGTAAATACTAGGCCATGTTATATCAGGGACTTGAGCATCCATGGATTTTGGCATCCCCGGGACCCTAGAACTAATCCTCCATGGATACCAAGGGACAATTGTATAAACTCGCTCAGGAAGGCTGCTCATTGGAGGAAGGGCCCAATTCAGTACAGACAGGGACATCATCCCTGGACTACAGTCCATCCATCCATCCATCCATTCATCCATTGGCATCACCCTCTAGTGCTGTCCCAGTGACAGCCCTAGCAAGTGGAGACATTTAAAAAGACCGGCTCATGTTGTCCAGGTTTGAGGTCTTGGAAGAAGTTGCACCAGTGTGAGAATAAGGGGTCAGTTTCTTCCAGGATCCAAAGAGCGTATCAGGGCCCCTCGGGGTGAGGAAAGGAGCGAGGCCTCTCCAGCAGCCACACGGGCTGCAGTAGGATGGGGCTGGGGCTGGCCCTGTTTATCACTTGGCCCTCATCAGGGGAACAGAAAGACCAGGGGGCAGAGGAAGAACATGGGGCAGCTGGTTGCCTAAGCAGAAGGCACCTCAGGGAAGGGGTTTTAGTTTGTTTTCACACTGCTGTAAAGAAATACTTGAGGCCGGGCATGGTGGTTCACACCTGTAATCTCAGTACTTTGGGAGGCCGAGGCAGGTGGATCACCTGAGGTCAGGAGTTCAAGACCAGCCTGGCCAACATGGTGAAACCCTGTCTAACTAAAAATACAAAAAAAGTTAGCTGGGCGTGGTGGCGGGCACCTGTCATCCCACCTACTTCGGGAGGCTGAGGCAGGAGAATCCCTTGAACCTGGGAGGCAGAGGTTGTAGTGAGCCTAGATGGTGCCATTGCACTCTAGCCTCAGTGACAAGATTGAAACTCTGTTAAAAAAAAAAAAAAAAAAAGAAAAAAGAAATACTTGAGACTGAGTAGTTTATAAAGGAAAGAGGTTTAATTGACTCACAGTTCAGGGAACTTACAATTATGGCAGAAGGCGAACGGGAAGCAGGCACCTTCTTCACAAGGCGGCAGGAGGGAGTGAGTGGAGAATGAGGAAGTGCCACATTTTGAAACCATCAGCTCTCCTGAGGACTCCCTCACTCTCAGGGGAGCAGCACGGGGGAAACTGTCCACAGATCCAATCCCCTCCCACCAGGTTCCTCCCTTGACACAGGAGGGATGAGTTTTGGGTGGGGACACAGATCCAAACCTATCAGGGTCTCAGCCTGTCTTGCAGCTCCCCAGGGCTGAGGCTGAGTACAGATCTGCTGGCCCTGTTCTACAGCACTGGGGGCTCTGCCTGTGCGCCCCCATCTGCTGCTTCCTGGGGTGGTGGCTGCTTCCTCAAGAAGAGGTTGGATCTGTTCTCCTACCCACCCCTCTCCAGGGCCTTGTGGTGCCCTGGCCACACCCTCCCAGGGTAAGGGCAGGAAACTGGGCTCCTTGCCCTTCTTGTTGCTTGGGTGACCATCCTGGGGTCATTCGTAGGCCCCATCACTGCTCCTCCTTCTAAATGGAGAGCATTTTGGCAAATCTTACTGGCAGAGGCCAGAGGCTCATTCCTGTCATTTGTTCTATCGTGGTAAAGCCAGGTGAAGACATCTGGGCAAGCAGAAAGTAGAGTGACCCCCAGGAAGGGTGAGTGGAGGGTGCTGGCCTTTGGGCTTGCCTGGACCAGCGTGTGAGGGGCAAGATTATTAGCAAGTAGGGTTGTCAGGGCTAACATCAGGGGACAGTAATAATGCTGGTGGGGGGACGGCGGTGTGGCTGGCTTGGTGTGGGGCATGAGAGCCAAGGTTTGTCAGCTCGCAGAGAGGCGCCTGACCCATGGACTAGCGACTGTGGAACCCAGTGGTTGCCCTTAGTTCCTGGATCCTGGGAGACTTCTGGAACCTGGGCCTGGGGCAGCCTAGGGGTGGAGGTGGTGGGTGACTGGGATAGGGGTCTCTGCTTCTCTCTTTCAGTAAGAGGGAGAACCAAGAAAGGCACTGAAGCAGAGAAGGCACTTGTGCAAACACCAGGAGAATGAGGGGCCTGAGTTTTCTTCATTTCTCCTAAAAACATGCATTCTCTCCCAGGACACCCTGGTGAGGGCATGAAGCACAGGGTGTGTGTGTGTGTGTGTGTGTGTGTGTGTGTGTGTGTAGGTATATGCATGCGTATGTATGTATGTGCATGTGTGTGTGCAGGTTTGTGCGTATGAATGTATTTATGTATGTGCATGTGTGTGCGTGTGTGTGTGCAGGTGTGTGTGTGCGTGTGTGTGTGCGTGTGTGTGTGTCTGTTTGTGTGCATGTGTGTGCGCATGTGTGTGTGTGTGTGTAGGTATATGCATGTGCATGTGTGTGTGCAGGTTTGTGCATATGAACATATTTATGTATGTGCATCTGTGTGCGTGTGTGTGTGCATGTGTGTTTGCGTGTGTGCATGTGTGTGCGTGTGTGTGTGCATGTATGTGCGTGTGTGTGCATGTGTGTGTGTGCACGCATGTGTGTGTGCGTGTGTGCGTGTGTGCGCACGCATGTGTGTGCGTGTGTGCGTGCATGTGTGTGCGTGTGTGTGTGTGTGCACGCACATGTGTGTGTGTTGCAGGGCTTTACTGTGGACAGGATGTGGGAAGGCAGCTGCAGTTCCAAGCTGCGAGTCTTTCTCAGAGAATGGTTAAGATTCCCTGTACCACAGAAAGAGTGTTTTCATTTGCACCCATTTTTATTAGCATTTAAATCTGCATTATTTGTAGCAGGTAAACCTTAAGTTGTTTAACTATTTTTAGAAACATTTACACCAGCGGTCCCCAAACTTTTTGGCACCAGAGACCAAGTTTCTTGAAGACAACTCTTCCATGGACCCGGGAGAAGGGGAAGGGATGATGCGGAGATGATTCAAGCCCATTACATTCATTGTGTGCTTTATTTCTATTATTATTTCACATGTATTTCTATTATTATTTCATTCAGTCTCTCCACTATCTGTGGGCTAACAGGCTGCGTTAGTTTCCTAGGGCTGTTTTACAGGACCACAGACTGGGCACCCTCAACAACAGATCTTACTGTCTCGCAATCCTGGAGGCCATGACTCCACCATCAAGGTGTCAGCAGGGTGCGTCCCTCTGAGGCGGTGCAGGAAGGCTCTGTTCCAGGCTTGTCTCTTGGCGTGTGGGTGGCCATCTTCTCCCTGTGATTCTTGGTTAAGGGTGACTCTGGTGAGGGCTCAGAAGAGGAGAGCTGGACAGAATGTCGGTAGCATATGGAGGGGGTCAGGCCTGGTGTCTCATGCCTGGAATCTTAGCACTTTGGGAAGCCAAGATGGGAGGATCGCTTGAGGATGAGACTTCAAGACCAACCTGGCCAACATAGGGACACGTCTCTTAAAAAAATAAAAACATGGAAGGGAAAAATCATCCAGATGAAGTCTCAGATGGCAATGAAGAACATGTTATTGGAAACTGGAGGAAAGGTGACGCTTATCATAAAGTGACAAAGAACTTGGCTGCATTGTGCTCCTAGTGTTTTCTGGAAGGCACAACTTGTGAGTGATGAACCTGAAATTTGACAGAAGAAATATCTAAGCAAAGTATTGAAGGAGTGCCTTCATTCTCTTGAATGTTTCTAGGAAAATGAAAGAAAAGAAGAATGATTTAGAGACAGAACTTATAATCAAAAGGGAAGGAGAACTTAAAAATTTGGGAAATTTTTAGCCTTCTCAGCCTGTCCATATTGAACAGATAAGGAAGTGTGTTTGGGAGAGAACACGAGGGTGTGGGTCAGGAGGCCTGCATGGATCAGGGCTGTGCTCTTCACCAGGACAATGGAAGAGAGACCTTGAAGGCAGTTTGTAGATCGCTCAGGCTGCACTCTCACCAGAGGACCATGGTGCCAGGGCACCAATGGCCTCCCAAACTGCTGGGATTACAGGCATGAGCCACCACGCCTGGCCTATTTTTTGTATTTTTAGACAGAGTCTTGCCCTATCACCCAGGCTGGAGTGCAGTGGCCCTGTCTCAGCTCACTGCAGTCTCTGCCTTCCAGGTTCAAGCAGTTCTCATGCCTCAGCCCCCTGAGTAGCTGGGATTACAGGGGCGTGCCACTGTATCTGGTTAATTTTTGTATTTTTAATAGAGATGGAGTTTCACTATGTTGGCTGTGCTGGTCTTGAATTCCTGGCCTCAAGAGATCCACCTACCTCGGCCTCCGAAGTGCTGGATTATACGTGTGGGCCATGGCACGTGGCCCAACTCTGCTGTTTGAGCGAAGCTCCCGTACCCTAGGTCATCACTGACTTCCCAGTTGCTGAATCCAGTTGTCTTTACTGAGTTCGTCCTTAATTTAACTTTCTTTTGCATTGAAGCTACTGACCACAGCATTTTGAAACTCTGTTCCTTTTATTACTGTGATTCTACTTTACTTATTTTTCATCTTATCCCAGTCTGTGGCTTCTCAGACTTCCTCACGATTGATTGCTTATTTTAAAAACAAAAATTTAAACCTCCTGAGTAGTTCAAAAATTATATACCTTTGACATTTTTTAAACTTTTCAAATAGTTGCAAGAATAGTTCAGTGATCACCAGTTGTTACCATTTTGCCATATTTTGTTTGTCTGTGTGTCCCTCCCTTTCTACCTGTTCCCACATATATGTGTATCTATGAATATTCATGTTTTTTAACTTTAATAAATTTTCTTACTGTACGATTTGAGAGTTAACTGCAGATTTCACAGCACTTCACCCCTAATTTCTTCTATATATCTCCTAACAATAAGGGATTTTTTTTTTTTTTTTTTTTTTTGAGAAGGAGTCTCAGTCTGTCGCCCAGGCTGGAGTGCAGTGGTGCAATCTTGGCTCACTGCAACCTCCATCTCCTGAGTTCAAGCAATTCTCCTGCTTCAGCCCCCCAAGTAGCTGGAATTACAGGTGCCTGCTACCACGCCTGCCTAATTTTTGTAATTGTAGTAGAGATGGGGTTTTGCCATGTTGGCCAGACTGGTCTCAAACTCCTGACCTCAGGTGATCTGCCCTCCTTGACTTCCCAAAGTGTTGGGATTACACAGGTGAGCCTCCATTCCCGGCCTCTTTTTCCTTTTGTAATTAACAAGTGATCTATAGAATGATAGAAACATTGTGAATATTCTGTTGCATAATAATCTTTACTTAATGGTTTCATCTGGATTGCTTCTTGCCCAAATCAAATATTACTATAGTGATTATAAAATGGAGACTTTTCTACTTTTTCTGTATTTTTTCTATATTGTCATTCTTCTGTAAAGATTTTTTATACTCTTTTTTTTTTTTTTTTTGAGATGAAGTCTTGTTTGTTGCCAGGCTGGAGTGCAGTGGTGTGATCTCAGCTCGCTGCAACTTCTGCCTCCCAGGTTCAAGCAATCCTCCTGTCTCAGCCTCCAGAATAGCTGGGACTACAGGCATGTGCCACGGCGCCCAGCTAATTTTTTGTATTTTTAGTAGAGATGAAGTTTCACCATGTTGACCAGGATGGTCTCGATCTCTTGACCCAGTGATCAGGCCACCTCGGCCTCCCAAAGTGCTGGGATTACAGGCATGAGCCACTGTACCTGGCCCTATACTCCCTTTTTAATTTTTTTTTTTTTTTTGAGTTGGAGGTTCACTCACCCA